GCCAGCTCTCTGCTGTGGCCAGGGAGTGCAGTGGAGGATGGCCCAAGTGCTTGGGCCTTGCACCCCATGGGAGACCAGGAGAAACACCTGGCTCCTGCCTTCGGATTAGCGTGGTGCGCCAGCCACAGCGTGTCAGCCGTGGCGGCCATTGGAGGGTGAACCAACGGCAAAAGGAAGACCTTTCTCTCTGTCTCTCTCTCTCTCTCTCTCACTGTCCACTCTGCCTGTCAAAAAAAAAAAAAAAAAGAGTTAGGCAGCACACAATTAAGGCTGCCAATCAGTGACCTCGAGAGAGGCAGATAATCCCTGGTAGTCTGGGTGGGCCCATTCTAATCACCGGGAGACAACCTGCAGCCCAGCTCAGGAGCAGGGAGCACATAGCACAGAGGCCAGGACTGACAGAGGGCAGGTGGCAGCATCAATGGATTTCAATTGGTACATCCCACTCATAAAGCAACTAGGCCTCAGCCACTAACCCAAATCTCTCTCTGCCACTTATTTACTGCGTCACCTTGGTCAATAAACTCTGTTTACTCATCTGTAAAACGGGTACAGTAATGGCCCAGTGAAATCCTGCCCCCCACATTCTCCACTCTGCTTGGCCGTATCTTCTCTGGTGAAGCGTACTTTCCTGCCCGTTGGGGTCTGCTGTGTGACTTCCTTAGCCAATGGAAACTTTGCAGATGGCTCACCAGCAGGGGTCTGGGAATCTGGCACCCCCATGGGCAGAATGTGCCTGGCTAGCCTCTTAATACCAGAAGAAGAGGAGAGAGTGAGGCAGGACCACCCCAGCCACCCTGAGAAGCGTCGTGGGCAGAGGGACGGTGCACTGCAGACAGCACCAGCAGATGCTGCCCTCATCCCTGCCTCCAAACCCAGCCCCCACCCCAGCCCCAGCATCGCCTGGTTCTCCATCTCTGTGACATCACAGTAGGTCTCCTGTCCGCTCTGCCAGCTCCAAGTAAGTGGGAGGGAGTTGTTTTTCTACACTACTAGGACAATGCCCCCAGCACTGATGGGCGCCTACCCACTGCTAGAGGAAGCAGACAGCTCACCACTTGCCCTGGACCGCCATCTCCCTGCCTGTGCTCAACACCCCCTCTAAGGGCGCCTCCAATTCCAGAAATCATCCCAGTTTTCCTCGCTGATCTTCCTTGCTCTGGCCAAGGTGCCCTGGGGTCACTAGAGACCTGGGGCTTACTAGGACAAGCCAAGTGCTCTTCTCTGCGGCACCTGCTTCCATCTAGAGGAGGGCACTGGTAGTGCAGGAAACACCACCCTCACTGTGCCCCAGCATGGTCCTTGGAACTACTATGTGAAGGATCCCGTGCCCTATTTTGTATCTTTATATCACCCAACCCTCACAGCAACATTCTGAATAAGATAGCGATCTCATTGTGCAGGTAGGAAAACTGAGGTTCAAGGACGTTGGATTGCTCTAAATTACATGGCAAGGTGTAGCAGGTATCAGGAACTCAAGTTCATCCAAGTAAAAATGTCCCTTTATAAAAAAAAAAAAAAAAAAAACAGCCTGCCATCAACTGTCAGAGGACAAGAGCAGCTCATTCTGGAACTGCCCAGAGGGTGAGGCCATGGGCAGCACAGGCTCCGGCTTCAGACAAAATCACCTGAAAATCCAGCTATTCCTCTTGGCTGTGACACCTGCAAAGGCACCGGCTGAGGCTCGATTCCTGTCTTCTGAAAACAGGACAAGACCTTGCCTTGCACCGCAGATAGAACAGTGAGATGGGTTTGTAGAGCCCGAAGGACCTGCCCAAGCCGCTCAGCACAGGTCAGTGTTCTTGGCACCTTGGCTGCGTCTCTTCCTGTTAACTCCGAGGCTGGAGTCGCAGGGGAGAATGAGGACGTCTCAGATAAGGACGCTTGCACTGATTCTCCAAGAAGAGAGTAAAAACGCTGCTCGTAGAAGGCAGAAGGGGGAAAGCTTTGGGCAAACTCTTGTCCCCCGGTCAGTGAAGGACACTTACTCCGTGTACAGCCCAGTGCTCAGGCTGAGCCTCAAAGGGGAGCTGCCTCCCTGAGAGCAGGAATCCATCGCTCTGATCCACCGCAGTAAGCCCAGCACCTCCCACAGTGCCTGGCCCCAGTGGTAGCTCCTCCATAAGTACATGCAAGATGTTTTTATAGGCAAAAATATAGGCAGTGAAAATATAGTCCTTTCTCAACAAATAATGACTGAGCGCCTGTGATGGTTTAGGCAGACCCTGTGCAGGGACAGGTAAGGACCATGATACAGGGAGGCCCAGGGGTTCTGGGAACCCAAGGGAGAAGCCCTCCTTCACCCCAAGTACTCCCGAGCTCAGCCTACAAGCACGATCGGCTAAGAAATGCGGCAAGGCCGTGATGATGGAGAGGACAGCATGTGCAAAGGCACAATGGTGGTGCCTCAAAGGCAGTGAGCCAGGAGTGAATGAAGCTGGCAACACCACAGGGCCAGAGGCCGGAGCAAGTATGAGCAGCCAAGCAGGGGAGCCACTGAGGGTTTGAGGCAGAGGAGGGACTTGGTGGGATTGGCACTGGAGGGCAGATCTGGCTGCAGGTGAGCCAGAGAGATCAGCGGGCAGCTGTTGTCATGATCCAGTGGGACAGGGGACGGTGGTGAGGGCAGCGGGGATGAGGGTGGCAGCTGAAGGAGGAGTGGTGTACAAGGGAGACGCCAAGGCCTCAAAGGATGATTGAATGTGGGAGGAGTGGAGGGGAGAGGCAGGAGGAGGAGAGGGGGGTCCCATGTCTAACTTGGCACAAAGTGAACAGTGAGTTTGTCCCCAAAACATAGAACAGAGGGAGGGTAGAAGCAGGCTTGGGTTGGGGAGGGTGTGGCAGGTGGCGGGGAGCAGCTGACCAGGGCCACTGAATCAATCACCCGTAAAACCATCAATCAGTTTGGCAGTGCAGTGAGGCCAGCAGGGTCCTATTGGTTGTAACATTCCTGGAACAAAAAATGATTCCAGTGCTCACCTCTCGCTGCTCCCTGGTACCCAGGACCAAAGCAGAGTTAAGTGCAGGTTCACGAACCATGCCACACCCATCTGTTAGCTGCCTACTCACGCCCTCTCTTGGGCACCCAGCAGAAACCAAGGAAATTTCCTGCCATCATGGGTTTGCCAGTACAAAGCCAACACTGCAAGCTGACAGATTCTGGGATGTGTCAGAACGAGGCCAGGGTTGAGGGTCATGGCCGGGACCGTGAAGAATGGAGTGGAGAAGGGAAGGCAGGACTGCTGGGGGCAGGGCTTAGACCCTGTGCCTAAACAGACAGAACTGGGTGGGGGACCAGGCCTGAAGCGCCTCTGTGAACGAATTGGGCCCCTTGGGAGGAGCACTGTGGGCGGAGGGGGTGGGGGGTAGGCAGAGAAAACACAGAAAGCCACAGGTCTGGTGCCACCCAACAGCAGGTGGGAGGAGGGGCAAGGGAAGGGTTAGAGCATGACTTTGTCAGAGACACCATGGGTCCCCGGCCACGGTGACGGGATCTGACTCCCATGGAGAGAGCTGACGTGGGGGAAGACCAGCTGAAGGATGCAAGGAAAACAGATAGGGTCCAAGTGAGAGATGATGGTGGCCAGGGCCGGGGAGGAGTCAGAGGGGTGGGACACTGGTGCCCAAGGACGAAGCCAGGAGTGAACCCGGTGTACTGTGACCAACACACAATCGCCATGACGGAAATTGCCAAAGTGGGGCTTTGGCCACCGCGAAAGGGGAGCCAGAGCGAGAGACGGCCAGGATCTGGAAGAGAGGTAGGTGATCAAGCCAATGATGGCTGCGTTCTGGCATGGGGTGCCGCTTTGTGTCAGCTGCTCCAGTTCTGATCCAGCTCCCTGTAATGTGCCAGGGAAGGCAGTGGATGCTGCCCAAGTCCCTGGGCCCCTGCCACCCACGTGGCGACCCCCATGGGAGTTCCAGGCTCCTGGCTTCAGCCTGGCCCAGCCCTGGCTATTGTGGCCATTTGGGGTGTGAAGCAGTGGATGAAAGCTTTCTCTATCTCTTCCTCTAGTTCTGCCTTTTAGACCAATAAATAAAAAATCTTTAATTTGAAAAAAAGGAATAAGATGAACTTTCAACTTGGGGCCACTGGTGCAGGACAGATCCTTGGAGGTACAATGCACAGGCCAGGTCAATCCACACAGCAAGTGAGCGGCAGCTCCAGGACTTGAACTGGTTAGGGTGAGCTTCCTGGTCATAGCCCCAGGAGGACTCAATCCCAGGGGAGTTAAGGAGCCACATGAAGGGAAGGGGCAGGGGGATAAAAGAAAGACAATGGGGAGAGTGCACATTTGTGTACCTGCCACTACACTGGCTCACGTTCAGCTAGAGAGGGATTCCTCTACTGCTAAATCCACTTTTTTTTTTTTTTTTTTTTTGACAGGTAGAGTGGACAGTGAGAGAGACAGAGAGAAAGGTCTTCCTTTGCCATTGGTTCACCCTCCAATGGCTGCCGCAAAAATCATATGGATGCCATAGCATTTGGTATATAGGTATAAATATTGCTTCACTGAATTATACCATGTATGCAACAATATACCTTTTTTCCATGTTATGATCATTATCATGAATCTCTCACTTTTAGCTATTATGTTTTCAAGAATAGTATATGCACATGTTCTACAAATGAAACTGAATGTGAAGAAGTTTTTAAACCCTGGTTTACATTTTAAAACAAAAAACCTTATAAAAATGAATGTTAGATACCATTCATATTTATTAGTGAATAAAAAAGACCGGGGCCCCCATACGAGCTCCCAGTTAAAAAGGACCTGCAGATCCTGTAGGTGGCAGTTTGTGAACCAACTTACACTGGGAGGCTGAATTTTCTTGAAAATGGGGGCAAAGATTGCATTTTTTGCAACCAGTATTTTTGCCATTTTGATAAAGGAGGGAGGGAAAAGCAAAGCAGGGGCGAAGAGTATCACCCAGTGAGGGGGGAAAAGAAAAGAAAGAGTTTGAGGAATTCTTTTTTTTTTTTTTTTTGGACAGGCAGAGTGGACAGTGAGAGAGAGAGACAGAGAGAAAGGTTTTCCTTTGCCGTTGGTTCACCCTCCAATGGCCGCCGCAGCCAACGCGCTGCAGCCAGCGCACCACGCTGATCCAAAGGCAGGAGCCAGGTGCTTCTCCTGGTCTCCCATGGGGTGCAGGGCCCAAGCACTTGGGCCATCCTCCACTGCACTCCCGGGCCACAGCAGAGGGCTGGCCTGGAAGAGGGGCAACCGGGACAGAATCCGGCGCCCCGACCGGGACTAGAACCCGGTGTGCCAGCGCCACAAGGCTGAGGATTAGCCTAGTGAGCCACGGCGCCGGCCTGCTAAACCCACTTTCTAGAGAAATGAGGCTCAAAGAGATGACAGAACCAGCCCAGGGCACACACCTAGCAAGCAGACAACAACCCAAACACGAGCTCATCTGTGTCCACTGCTGTGCGTGCTTGGGGTCCCACTGCCAGAGGCCTTGGCAAAGGACAGCCCAGCAGACTGCAGCCACAGTCTCATGTGCATTTGGGAAACAGCTCTGTCGCGAGAACGATGTCAGACCCTCAAGTTCAGCTGACTCAGAGAAGTGTCCCTGCAGGTGAAGACTGGCCAGGTAGAGGTTCCAAGCCCCCACTGCGCAGGTAGGGGACAGTAGAGGAAGGGCTGGCCTGGAGAGGCGGCTTGGGGCATGTGTGCCACAGGGAGCTACAGGAGGTTTGGGAGAAGGGAGGGTCCAGTGTGACCCACTGCTTAAACAACAATGGGCTTCAGGGGTTGGGACTGCACAGCCAGATGCCCAGTGCCCTTTCCTCCTCTCAAAGCCACCAAAACATGGTGTGCAAGCTCTTCTGTTGTTGCTGCAAGGACAGAGAGGAGGCTCCTGACACTGTGGTCTCCTCCACCCCACGAATGTCCCAACAGCATCATCCACGGACCTTCAGTAGGTTCCACACTTGGGTGTGTGCAGTTGGCCCAGGTTCCCGAGACACCACCTCCTGCTAGGACGTCCACAGGTTTCTGCCAGGCTTTTGGTGGTGGGCAATGGGAGTTATGAGCCTAACGTGTAACAAGTCCATCTAAAACCTCTCTTGGCTATTAGATATTAGTTACTGGATGTATTTTTTTTAAAGATTTATTTTATTGATTTGAAAGGCAGAGTTACAGAGAGAGAGAGAGAGAGAGAGAGAGAGAGAAATCTCCTCTAGCCCTGGTTCATTCCCCAAGTGGCCTCAATTGCCAGGGCTGGGACAGGCCGAAGCCAGGAGCTGGGAGCCAGGTGGATCTCCCACCTGCTTCCCCAGGTACATTATCAGGGAGCTGGGTCAAAAGTGGAGCAGCCAGGACTCCAACTGGTGCCCATACGGTATGCTGGCATCACAGGCAGTTGCTTTAACCCACCATGCCACAACACCAATCCCTAGTTACTGGATGTTTAGTGCTAGTTAAGATCCCTGGCATTCGTCTGATGTAGTAGTTTAAATTCTGCCCTGGCTGCTTATTGAACTTGAACTTGACCTTCAGCTCGGAGCTTCAACATCATCTATCTCTGCCAAACAGAGACAAGACGAACATGTTCCCTACTTAGCAGGCTGATGGCAGGATGAAATGCAGTGAGGTTATGTGAATGCCTGGTGCAGCCCCACCACTGAGGCACTCAACAGCTGGGACTGCATGTGTCTATTAGGACCAACTAGGCCATGCTACAGTCTCCATCACTTAACGCAGCTTGCGGTCAGTCTGAGCTCAAACAAGCAGAATTTTTTTTTTTTCTTAAGCCATGAATACTTCGAGGAGTCCCTTCGTGGGCCAAGCCTGCTTGCTTGGGCATCACTCAAAGCCTTGCTCTGGGATTATTTTTGCCTTCATTCTTTCAGATCTGAACACAGATTCTCGCCGAAGGAGTGCACAGCAGAGATGCCCACGCCACTCACCCAAAAAGAAGAAGGGTTGCAACTTGGGAAGACCCTGAACCTTCTAGTGGGTGGCCCCCAAGCCTGCCCCTGAGCTGTGCAGCTGCTGGGCGTATCCACAAGGAAGAGCCGGTGGGCAGGAGTCATGAAGACGGATTCACAAACTCCCCTGGAGGAGAAGACGTCTGAGCCACCCCTGTGCACCTGCAGGAGCGCCTCCAGCTTCTGAAACGGCCAGAGCCGCAGAGGAGCTGCTTCCCATTAAAGTCCTTGGTCCATCAAGGTCGTGTCCCTATTCTTTCCCCCTTTCCCAACGCTGCTTCATGAATGTGGAGCAATTAAGACCCAGGCACCTCTCGTAACGGACGGTGGTTATCTCTTGTGGAAACGCCGTCAATCACTCCTGACAGAGCCGGTGAGGCTCTGCTTAGGAGCAGCTGGGCAGCAAGAGAGACGCTGTAGAGGGATGTGCAGTCAGTACTAGAACCAGAAGGCACAATCTGCCCTCCTACCATGACTCTGCCCAGAGCGCAGGGCCATAATGGACAGAGGAGCAGGCTATGCAGAGCCTAGCAACTCACTGCCGGAGCAGAGGTACAGGGCTGCGTGCAGACATAAGGCACACGGCGGACACCCAACTGCCTGCTGCGCTAGCCAGGGAGCCCGGCATAGCAGCCTGCCACTTCCACGTACCAGGACGCCAGCTTCGGGAGCAAAGAAATGAGGAGCAGTTTTGCAACTGCCTTGGGAATCTGAGGAAGCCCACCTGGAGGTGACGGTGCCTATGTTTTCTGAAGGGTGCAAGGGAACCAGCCAAGCCAGCAGGAAGGGAAACTACTCCAGAAAGGAGAACAAAATCAGCCAAGTAGGGAAACAGAGAGCTGGTAGAGGTGTGCTATGGCTTGGATCTAGTGTAGATGTTAAAAGCCTGGTCTCAGAGTGGCTGTGTTAAGAGGCGGTGGGGCATTGAAGGGGAGGGGCTTAGTAGGAGGTCATTTGGCCACAGGGGGCATTGCCCTCAGAAGCCAGGTGGCCTTCCATCTCCTCCCACCTCCTCTCAGCGGTCACTCTCTGGCCTCCAGCCTGACCACTGACCTCTCTCTCTCACCATTGTGACACCGTCCACCATGAGATCCTCACCAGAGCTGTGCTCATCCAGGCCCATGCCCCTGAACCTCCAGAACGCCCAGTGAAATAAACCTATCAAGTAAGTACCTAACCACAGGTATTTTAATATAGTACTAGGCAGTGAACCACCAGAGGGTCCTACAGAGCACAAGTGTGGTACTGATCAGTCGAGAATGACCTGAGTGTCTTGGCAGAGCAGCTTGGCCCCCACCGGGGATGCCCTCATGCTGTCTCCCAGAGCCTGGGTTGAGTCTCAGCTCCTGTACTTCCTATGCAGCTTCCTGCTAGTGCACATACCATCCCGGGAGGCAGCCGCGATGGCTCAAGTCATGGGGTCACCAGACGAAGTTCCTGGCTCCTGGTTTCATCTCTGTCTCTCTCGCCTCTCCTCCCCTCCCTCTCCCTCTCCCTCCTTTTTCCATCAAATGAATAAAAAGAAATAAAATGTTAGGTTGTTTTCAATGAGCAAAGTGAAAAACCTGAGCCAAACCGTGGGTGGGAAGGAGACAGGCCACGTGCCAGCAAGAGCCTCGTATCCAGGGCAAAGGAGACGAACTCCACCCTGAAGACGATGGACAGCCGCAGTTGACCCCTAAGCCACAAAGTAACACAGCCAACGTCTAATGTCTGCAATACAAACAGCGCCGTGGCCCCCTCGGGCTGCTACGACAAAACGCCATACCTGGGTGTGCTTCTCCCAGTTCCAAAGGCTGCTGCAGTACCTGACGAAGGCACCAGCACACCACAGCTGGTGTCAGATGAGGCCCCACTTGCTCGCCAATGGTGCTCCCCACGGCATCCACGTGCAGGGTGAGGGGTGGAGGGGACAGCTCTCGGGCCTGTTTTATACAGCGTGCCCCAGCGCTGCTGCAGTAGAATGACACTCCGTGACTACACTTGGCCCCAGACTGCTCATTCATCGCCTGCAGTCCATTAGAGATTTTTCCTTTCATAACTGGTGATGTTGAGGTTTGTCAGGGCAGGGGGCGGCGGGGGAAGAGCTGCGGAGCTGCAGACCCTGGAGAAGGAACGGGCTGTCCTTGGTTCTGTCCTTGGTTCCCAGTGCCCCGCAAACAGGGGAGCACCCCTGAACAGTCACCATGCCCTGACAGCACCCTAGAGGGAAGACTTCTAGAACATTCTGCCAATGTAGCACCACAGAAATGTCCCCACCTTTCAAAGGCCACAGCCGTGCCCTTCACAAGGTTCAGGGTCTCGGCACAGCTCTTTCTTGGGTGCCCTGTCTCAGCCGCAGGGGCTGTGGTTGGGCCTGTATATGCTGTGCCTATATCCCTGAGAGTCTGCCTCACTTCTTACTCGCCAGGTCTCTGTGACTAATCCCATCATAGCTAACACTGTTTTTCTCCAGAAAACTTCCCTGGTCACCTTACTGTGTAGTTTCCGTCTGCTGATGGGACCCTGACTTACACAGTCGCCCACTAAGAGGCCATGCAGGCCAGCAGGACGGCCAGTGCTCAGGCCTGACCGAGGGCAGCAGCAGCAGGAGACGGCCCCAAGCTCCACCTCTCAGTCGGGCTGGCCAGCGCTCGCTCACAGTCACGGGGGGAAGAAGGCACTGGGGCGGGGTTGCCGGCTTCTTCTACAAGGCCCACATCTTCAAAGGAGGCGGCAGTGGGGCCAGGCTGACACCACACAGCAGCACAGCATTTCGCTTTGGGCTATGTTGGGCAGAGGGAGCCCATGGCACAGCCAGATGGCCAAGTTCAGACACTTTAGAAATATTTAGCAGGAAAGGATACATGACTGCGGCCGCAAGGGAGCAAGGGAGCTGGTGTGCACTAACAGTTCACGTCGTCACAGCCCCTCCCCGCCATGACAGGTGAAGGGGCAGCAAACACTCCCAAGCCTCACCATCCAGGCCCCCCTTCCACCGCCAGGTGTCACCCCGTACCCCCTGGACCCACCCTCTCGTCCTGTGCTCTCCCACGCCAACGACTCACTTTCCTTCTCCAGCAAATGCCACCTCCTCGCGTCTTGGAGCTGCTTCCTGTGACGGCTGACAAAGGTGTTTGCGTGAAGATGCTCCATAAACACTACTCCTCATTCGGATCGTTCTGAAACGCTTTTACATGGCTCTTAGCCTCAACGACATCTTCCCAAGAGATTTTCAAATGATAACTTTAAAAAATGGAAACCACAGCTGGGTTTACTTCCTTATATAAAATATTTTAAAATGTATTCTAAAGGCAGAGGGAGGGAGAAAGGGGAGGGGGAGAGAGAGACAGAGAGACAGAGAGAGGGAGGTCTTTCATTCAATGGTTCACTCTATAAATTCCCACAATCAGCTAGGACTGGCCCAGGCAAAGTCAGGAGCAGGGAGCTCAATCTGGGTCTGCCATGTGGGTGGAAAGAATCCAAGTACTTGATGGGGCCGATGCCATGGCACAGTAGGTTAATCCTCCGCCTGCGGCGCCGGCATCCCATATGGCCGCCAGTTCTAGTCCCAGCTGCTCCTCTTACAATCCAGCTCTCTGCTGTGGCCTGGGAAAGCAGTAGAAGATGGCCGAAGGGCTTGGGCTTCTGCACCTGCGAGGGAGACCTGGAAGAAGCTCCTGGCTCCTGGATCTTGGCTCCTGGCTCTTGGCTCCTGGCTTCGGATCGGCACAGCCGTTGCAGCCATTTAGGGAATGAACCACTGGAAGGAAGACCTTTCTCTCTGTCTCCCCCTCTCACTGTCTGTAACTCTACCTCTCAAATAAATACATTTTAAAAAATCTTTAAAAAGAATCCAAGTACTCAAGCCATTATCCGCTGCCTCCCAGAGTGAGGAACGGCAGGAAGCTGGAATCAGAAGCAGAGCCAGGGACTCAAACCCAGGCACTCGGGTACTGGACATGGGCATCCCCAGTAGTCTCCTCAGTGCCGTGCCAAATGCCCACTCCCAGATTTGCTTCTGACCCACATCAAACGAACTTCCACCAGACCAATCTACCCTCAGACTGATAACGGTAAAAAGCTGGGGTGTTTTCCCCTTAAATCTGCACAACAGAGCTACGAACACTCGGGTCTTGAGGAGCTAAGATCCTGGACAGAAAGGCAGTAGAGGGAGAAGAGAGGCTCAGAGAGGGCTTCTGATCCCCTCAGGGCACCTGCCCAGTCCCAAGCCAGGTCTAAGAGGCAGAAGACTGGCACTCTCAGTAGTCTAACAGCTTGGGGAAACAAAACTGGAGGCTTCAGGGTCACCATGAAGACAGAACCCTAATTTTCTTAAAAAATATTTTGACAGGTTTTCAGTTAAAACTGCTGAAAGGCTACCACTTCAGATCAAGGGCTCACCAGAAATAGGCCAGTGCTCAAAGGTCAGACCTACCCCAGTGGGACTCTCCCAGAACAAGAGCCTGGTGTCAACTTCTCATTTTAAAAAATGTCCAGCACTGAATCAAAACCCATGAGGAAGAGGAGATATGACCAACAGTTGATGGAGAAAGAAGGAGAGAGAAATAAGTCTAAAAAAGAACCAGATTTAGAATAACATGGACTTTAAAATACATAAAATTAAATATTGAAGGAAACAGATTACAAGATGGATAGTTTCATCTGAAAACTGGAAACAAGTGAAAATGATAGAGCTAGGGGCCGGTGCTGTGGCATAGCGGGTAAAGCCACCGCCTGCAGAGCTGGCATCCCATATGGGCACCAGATCTAGTCCCGGCTGCTCCACTTCCAATCCCGCTCTCTGCTGTGGTCTGGGAAAGCAGCAGAAGATGCCCAAGTCCTTGGGCCCCTGCACCTGCATGGAAGACCCAGAGAAAGCTCCTGGCTCCTGGCTTTGGATCAGTGCAGCTCCAGCCGTCGCAGCCAATTGGAGAGTGAACCAGTGGATGGAAGACCTCTCTCTCTTTCTCTCTGCCTCTCCTTCCCTCTGTGTAACTCTGATTTTTAAATAAATAAATACATCTTTTTTTAAAAAAAAAAGAAAATTATAGAACTAAATACTGTATCAGCTGCCATCACATTGAGGGGTAGGCATTGTGGCCCAGCAGTTAAGTTGCTGCTTGGGATGCATGCATGTCATATCCAAGTGCAGGTTTGGGTCCCGGCGACTGCACTTTCAATGCAGCTTCCTGCTGATGTGCACCCTGGGAGGCAGCTTCAGTCCCTGCCACCCATGTTGGAGACTGGGACACAGTTCC